AGGTTCAGCTATTAGTTTGCATAATGAAAGTTCGATCGATGCTTCAAACTCGTTGAAATCGATATGACCGCCAGTATCGTAAAAGATTGCAGTAATTTCTGTCACGCTATCACGATTTTTCATTCCGAAAGTGTCATAAAGTTATTCTTACTATGTACTTCCTGGAATTGATGGTTCGAAGTCTCGTCATTATCTTCGACACGCGACAGTTTTATAGATTACTACGTAATGAGTTACCAAAGCAAAAAAGTAACATTTTTATAGTTCGCTCTCCCCCATTGCAAAACTACTTTCATCAGACCCACGATGTCCTTAAACAAGTAACGATAAAAGATATATTCAATCTTTACAGCCTTATAATTACGAAATAGAGAATAAATTTCTTGCTTTGTAATCTGAAATAGGAATTTCAAAATGTGACGAAAATAAAGGATGAGGATTCTAATATAGAAATTTTCCGTGATTTAAAATTAAGAATAAATTACTATACGTTGGTCTTATCAGTTACCAATACGAAATAGAGAATAAATTTCTTGCTTTGTAATCTGAAATAGCAATTTCAAAATGTGACGAGAATAAAGGGTGAAGATTCTAATATAGAAATTTTCCGTGTTTTAAAATTAAGAATAAATTACTATACGTTGGTCTTATCAATTAACAACCATTGGAATAAAATTTTGAAGATCGTTCCTTCGACCGAATGGATCCAAGATGGCGGGCGCGATAGGGAAATGGACGTTGCGGTAGCCTCTTTTAGCTCGTCCTGTACGGTCAAATGTGCCTCGCGTCGTGTTATGTCATGCACGTTCCGCAAAACAACTTCGAAGCTCCTCCTAATGCGCATTACGCACGAGTGGAACCAACGGGTCCGGCGATCCCACGCGCGAAAAAGACGCCCGTCTCGCGAATATCGCGACAATATTTGTGCATTAAGATACCGGCGTCGCGGCGGTCAGCGACCCCGTTCGTCGCCGGCAATTAACGATGCGTGTCGATTCAACGTGGCGCCCTCGCTTCGTTGCTTTTATTTTCGCGCCCGCGCATAATTACAAATTAACCGCTAAATCGCGGAAGAGTAAATACGCCGCGGAGCAATCGCGATTTGTTCTCGGTTTTTTCTCCCCCTCCCTGGCGATTTCAGCCTCTGAACATCGTGCCCAACGGTCGCGTTTACGTTTACGTTTACTGTTATCCGTATTTTGCAAATTCGAATATTTTGCAAACTCCTTGCATACACGTCGTTCGAACTCTGTTCCGTAATGTTGTAAAAAAATGAATAGAATATCGACGGTTCATTACTCAGTATTGAATCGTTAGCAACCGTCGCTCCCAACGAATGAATAAAAAATCACCAAAGTTAAAGTCGGTCAAACTGTAGTCGCGTCTGACGAACTCACTAGCTCAGCCCCGTCGTGTACGCGATACACGAAACTGAAATATAAATCATAACTTTTGTTGATAAAATGAAATTTACGTAACCGAGTCATTTTGAACGGAGCAATTAATTACTGTAAATTGCTTCGAGGTTCTAAGCTTGGAAAAAATCCTCCATAAAGATTTTTATATTTAATAATCGTCCCCGCGTCACCATTTGTCGCTGGCTCGTGAAGCTCGTAGTTGTTGGAATTTTATTTTCACTCGTTCGCGAAAGAATAGTATGTTCATAGCGCATACAGGTCACCGTGGTCGGCATGAATTTTATTGGCGACCTCTTGAAACGTTCTTAATTCTCGTCTCGCTCGGAACACGGTGACCATAAATTGCGCGTAAAAGGAATTGGAACGGTGCGCGCGAGTAGTCATCAACACCCTCGGCAAGGTTAAATAACGGATAAGGAGAACTCTTTGTCCGAGTCGAGGACGACGTGAGATGCATCGCGTATTACGGGGTCTTCTACTCCGGTACACTAGAAACTGCTATTTGTTCGAGAATTTATAATAGTCGATACTTCCCTCACCTATACGTATCTCGAGAAAACGAAACTTCTTCAGTGAAAGATCTTCGAAAAATTCTTACGATACGCGTTTTACGAATAGTAGTGTCTGCACGTTTAAAGAGACGAAAGAAAAATATCTAATATTATCGAAACGACGCCAGAGAAAAGAAACATTCGGTTGCGACAGCGGCCATTAAGATAAAACTTCGCGAAGATTGCTACATTGGCGCCCTGGGCTTTTATGGAGGCCAGGGAAAAGTAGTTTCTCTCGAAACGACATTAAAGTTGGACACCGCGACGCACGGCAGATCTATTTGTGCAAGCAACTGTGTATATTGTTAGTAAGTTTCCCACTGAATGTCAACGATTAAATTGATCGCGTCGTTTATTAAATTAAAATCCACTCGTCTTTGCTTCTCGAGCCGGGGTGAATTTTAGATAATAAATTATGCACAGGTTTACTGCGTCAAACTTCAGATTCGAAATGAAATATGCAAAGGTGATACACGAAATTGCATTTAAGATCGCATTTATAGTTGTGTTTAACTTGATCGAAACTAAAATAGAGATTTGATAATTTTATCGAATTTTGTATTAATAGAATTATTTAGCCGGGAACCCACGGTGCTTTATTTATGGCTTCGCTGCGTATTATGCACACTGGCGTGTTCATAAATTTCGTTCCCTCTTTGTTACGCTTCACGCTTCGCGAGCTTGTTGCGAATATTTTGTTGGCCGTCTCGATGGATATCTACGCGGAGTAAGATATCGTCCCGTTGGTCAGAGTCTCTGGACCGAGCTGCGACAACTTTTCAGCCCAGGCAGGCCAAATTTGATCGCCGGTTATCTCCCGTTAGCGAGATGGAAATTATCATGGCACGAGTAGAGATAGAGCGACGGCGATAACTTCTCAGGTGATACTCTAATTACCACGTTTCACCTTGCAACGTTATTCTCTTTAATCTAGTCAAATTATGCTCAGCTTCTCGTATCACGCGCTCGAAATTACAGTGGAACCTCGATAGATGCAACTATACGAGCACTCTGTACAAGAATACTTATTTTATTAAGCCTTCGACTTTGGGATTAAATTATATATAACCTGAGGACCAAGGAAAATCAATGCAACTTTGTCAAAATTCATGTTCAAACGTTGCTTTTAACCACGACTCAATATAGGTCGATCAATTAAAATTTTAATATATTCAAACGTATACACTCGTCTGAAGATGATTTTGTACTCAAGATCGAAAAAGCAAAGGAAAATTTTTGTGTACTTTAAATTTGGGTGTTTATTTCTACTTTTTTCACTAATTATTTCTATAAATTTCGTGATCGTAATAATCACGTTAGAAGCGAGTCGCAACATTGTGCAATAGCACACTTTCGTAAAAGCGTACACTTTCGTTCACGCGTTACACGAAGCTGTTTTGTTGCTCGAAGTTATTAACGAGGAAGAAGCCGTTAGCGAGTCGATCATAAGGAAGAGAAAATTATTTACGGCGTTCAATGCTGGCTCAGAAGCACTGATTTCCGTCGTGCGATTTTCCGTTAATTCCACCGATGTGGTACTAGTTTTTGCACCTAAATTGCCATCCCCACAATTTCTCCCATGACTTGCTTGATTAGCTCCGTCGTAAATCTTGCTAAGTTACGAACATCTGTTTTCGACGAGCATTGACACAGATTTTACGATTAACGCGTTGACCGTCAAACCCTTCGAAAACATGCCCGCGATTTGTCACAGAATTTTTACACTTAAAATACACAGAGCCTATATAGGTTTATTTTCTTCGACGTCCAATCCTGAAAATCAATTTCTTTTTTAGCTTCTCGGTGAAAAATATGTGTCGGTCGTGGCTGACAACTGGATTACTCTATCGCGGCGTGTAATTTGTAGCAAAATTACGGGGGCGTGTCTCGTTTTTGTCGCGGACTGTATGGCGGTTCTATCGCGATCGTTTGTCACGGTTCGCGTCGTCGCAGTCGAGTCGCTTGGAAGTAAATAGAGAGGAATAGAGAGTAATTTTTGAGATCGAAAGTAGGCTCGCGATCCACTCTGCCCGACGTCGCTCGTTTTTCATCGTTTTTTCGCCCCCTCCCCCGTCGTGTTCCTTTCCGCGCGAATTACGGAAACGCATCATCCGGCAATTATCTTAGCGCTGCGAGCGCCTCGACGAAAACCAGGTCGTCGCGCAGAAACGACGCCGGCTGCCGCGCCCGCTTTTCCTAAACAACGTTTCCAGCGTTCTCTGAAAGAGCGGATCCCGCGCTAGATTCTCTACGATCCGGCCACGCAGAAGTCTTCCAAGTTTCCCCAATTACTACAACTTTTCTTGGCTCGCCAAGAATACCGGGGATGTCTGATACAGGTAGAGATAATCTTGACCTTAATCGCGGCATCGACGACGCTGAAGCTGTACAACTGGCCGGGTTTGTTGCACAATTTATTATGTACTAGGACACCGGGGAGCTTTAAATGGCTCGCTCGAGCGTAGAAATCCTGTCGAGGACTTAGCCGTTTGTTGTCTAACCGTTTGTTCTCGGAAATATTGCTGTGTTAATCCTCCGCGCGATCTGTATTCCGTTTGATCGCGAAGCGTTCCGCGATCGAACAACGTTAAAAATTCAACTGTGCCACGTTCGAAACACCGAGAGAATCTGCACGATACAGTAACACTAAATGGTGAATAATAGATTCGGATCATTAAGTATTTATTTGGATTTGTGTAGCACTCTATGGTGTCTTTGCTATTGTATAGTTGTTAACAGCAGTTTTAAAACTAGCTTTATATCAGTTTGAAACATTAAGTTAGCGTTTCGTCCTGGGTCTTAATCGCTGGGACACAAGACAATACAATAGTGTATGTATAAGAATAGGTGATTGGTCGAGCGCTTGTGAGAAAGTCAGGTTGAGCGTAGCTCTCTCCCGGCGAGCGCAGGAACTATCGCCACATTATAGATTCTAATTTACGAATGAATCTGCCAATTATAATCGAGGGTCTAATATATTATCATTGTTATTACGATTGTTTTGTACTAATTTGTTTGTGTTTTTGCGCAGTGTCTCCCAGCTGAATGAGGCGATCGAGCGAGAATGCGGCGTGCACTCGGCGCACCAGGTGCTCCTGATGAGCGGAGGCGAAAGCCTGGAACTGAACACGCGTGTGTGCTCCTACTCGGCCGGAACCGACACGAATCCGATCTATTTGTTCAACAAGGCCGCCATTGAGAGTCACCAACCACCCGCGCCGAGCATAGATTATGGTTCCGGTGAGTAACGAGCTTCTTCACCTGTGAATTCTCCACAATCCATCGCGGTCCGCTGGCTTTCCTCCCGTTTCCTGCCGGATCTGAATTCGTTAAGACGATAACTAAATTCACCTGTTTTATTTTACCGCGGAACGAACATGCTCCACCCGCGTGAAAATCGATCTCGCAGCGTCATCTGCGGCTCGAAATAGAGTCGAACACGCCGAAAATGGCGTTGAATGGCGGAGAGTCGAGATGATTATGGTTCTTGCCACGTGTTCTTGCAGGATCGAGGCGCCGCGTATTCTTTGTACGGGAATCAAGGAGAATATTTACTCATTGTTGTCCGTTCGTGGCAACCGTTGCCTTCTCAACCGTTTCAATCTTCTGTTTTTGTTTCTAAACGTAGAAACAGATTCATCGGTTTGTCACTGAAATTCAGTAGAATTTAGAGTGACGAAGAATTGTATGTGATTCGTGGTAAATGGCAAGAAACTTGTTTCTTACGAATCGAGTCGTTGGTACTGAGATATTTAAAGGTTTAAATTATATATAAAACTTGTCAGTAGTTGTGACACGCTGGACAGTACAGGATGGGTTACCGTTTGGAGAAAAAAATCCACATATTATTAACTTGCACACCATTTAATATCATTATACCTCTATATCGGTTTTAGAATTGATCATTACTAGTCCGTTAATAATAAAAAACTTTGCAACTAGAGAAGTAACATTCAGTGAACGAATAACGAGTGGAGATTAACTGTGGTACACATAAAAAGAAAGTCGCGTTTGACTTTTGCGCGTTCGGTTTCCTTTGATCACTTACATTAATTTAGATATTCATGTATTCCATTATACAACCTAGAAATTCATCAAAATATTCATAAATCCGGGGTAAGTTTCCTCTGCGATCCACTTTGGAGATGCATTTCCGATAGTGTATATAGAGTGATTTAGAAGGAGGTCAATAATTACTGGCTTTCGTTGCCACGAATTGATACCAGGGACTCTCTCGAGCAAAAACTCTAACTGGAAATACGAACTCCCGGAACTTCGGTCCTGAATAGGAAGCGTATTCGTAGACTTGAAATATTTCGTATAATTAGTCGAGAGTCCTATATGTTCGTGGACTAAAAATACACTCGCGATAACGAATAAAAAAGATGATGGATGGGACAAGGTCGCTAAACGGTTGGGGGACATTTGCTTCGTTACGGCTCGATAAATTCGAAATGACCATTCCCCGCGACGATATTCGCATATTCGTTGGAGCGTACCGTTGCGTGCACGACCGAAAGAATATCTGTGGACGTTGGTGTCGTTAACAATAGAGGACCCGTTCTCGGTGACAGCGGCTGGCTTCGTTAACCGAGAATCGTGCCGGAAGGACGGCAGCTAATAACGATCCTAATCGGTGAGCGGTCGCGGGCACACAGAGAAAAAAGGAGTCAGATGATATCAGTGCGATGATAGCGATACTCGTGCGACAGGGAGGCTACCTTCGAAGGTGGCCTTTGTGCGAGGCGAGTGTGTGGCTCGCAGTACCGTAAACAGCCACAATGGCAGGCCTCTTCTCGTTCGTCTATATTTCGTCAGCGTGTAACGGTCGTGTCGCGTCACCAAAGTCCGCTTGTCCTCTCGCGAACATCGCGACGAGTCCTCCGATGCTGTCAAATCGTCAGCCAGGGGTGAAACCGATACTCGAGAATGGCCATTATTCGAAAAGAAGAAAATGTCTACGTACAGATCGTGTTGTAACGTTACATCGCGAGAGAATTTAACGCTGTTCGTTCAAAAGGACGATAATAATATCTGGGTTAATTACTGCACGTCCGCGACGGGGACAGAAATAGTCTTATCGCTCGTAAAATGCATTTCCTGATAGCGGCGCTATTAATCGTTAGTTTACGCGATACGAAATCTCGTTCAATAACGAAATGACCTTTATTAAAAATTTCTATCCGCGAGTTTGAACTTCAGTACGGGGGTGAGGCTTTCCAGTGGATGGAGTCGTACTGGGTCAGACGTTATGGTCGGCCTTCGCGAGGTATAATTAAATACTCGCTGTCTACCACATTCCCTTCGACTGTTTTTAAATACTCGAACACTAATGATATTTTCGTTCGTTCGTATCTTGAAATCGTGTTGAAAATGTGACCAAAACCACTGTCGATAGTCATCGAACAGACTATAACAGAAATAGTTTCCTATTCTTACGGTGTACAGCGATACACGAACAACTCGAAGAAATTGAAGATTAAAGAATATTTTTTATAAAATCGGTGAATTAAAGAAGACAAAAATTTTGTTTTCAATATCAATGTTGAGAAATTGAGTGCCAGCCAAGAAATAACGTTTATTCGAACCATGGTCGTGTGTGGTGTCGATGGAAGAGTGTCAGCGACGTTTTTCCCCGACATCTTGAACGCGACGACGCGCGTCTCGACGCGTTCGGACGCGCCATTGGGAGGCTCGATGGCTTCGAGGCTGAGCCGATGTACTAACCGTGCAATTTCCATACCGTTACGCCGTTAAATGCAGCCCGTACATTCGGTTCGTTATTATGCCTTTCGATCGTGTGTTACGTCGATTACGGTACTGAGCTACGATTTCACTATGCGCATAATCCTCGTTGTAAACGCGAGTTTCACGCTGCAAATCCGACGCGTTACGAGCCGTGTATCCGGAGACATTTTCTGGAAACCGGGGATTCGGAACTGGAATCGTCGGCACTACCCTCTGGCTGCTTCGATCCTCTGTGCTCCCTTTGTGTTTCAGGGCCCCCTTTGTCTGGATTCTCCGTTTTCTTAATCCATCGAGGACTAGGTCGCCGCGGAATTAAACTAGTTACTCAAGGCCAGTGGCAGGACCGCGTTAATTGACCTATTCGTGTCTTCTATTATTCAACCGCGAGGATTATCAAAATATCCATGAAATAATTTCCCAAAAGTCCATACATTTACTGTTATTATTAACTTGTGCACTTTGAATATTATTATATCAATGAAATCTTTGTTGCGACGTGTTAATTTTTAGGTATTTATTTTCTTAAATAAAAAGCTTTGAAACGTCTGGACCGATTCTCATAAAATAGTTTCAGTCGTAGGAAACGGATCTTGAGAATACTTTCGCGAAAGTTTCGTCCACGTTAACGTTGAACTAACAACTTTGCTCGAGGAAATACCATCCACGCGGGCGAGATTTAATAATAAATAAAACTCATGAAATTAATAATCTGATTTTAGAGTATTCGGTTCGAAAGTTTCGTGCACCTTCGATCTTCGGATAAATGAAACTTTTTAATAATTGGATTACCGCAGGGTTAACTGACCGCCCAAGGTCGCTGGAATTATCCCCGCCATGTTGGTTGGCCAGCTGCCACTCTATTTCTCATCTACTTGCGCCATATCTGTACGCGAAGAGCCGGATGATTAATCGCTTCGTATCCGAAGTGAAATGTACGTGAAGTAACTCGTCTGACTTTTGAGCGTTCGCCTCCTTTAGCTCGTTGCATTAATGCAAATATTCATGTCTTTCATTATTCAAACGAGGAGTTCGTCAAAATGGTTGTAAATCGTCTCGAAAATCTTGCTAATACCGGAGACACATTTTCCATCCTGACGACGCGAAATACAATTATACTGTTACACGTTCTTGTTGTGTCCATCGAGGATGGATCAATATGTTAGAAACGAATTCAATCTGCCACGATTAATAAGCAAAATCCGGATGGGAAAAGCACTCGAGACGCGTAAACCTGTCGCGAACTGAATGAAATGTGTTTATTAATCGCTTTATTTACCCGACACCCGTAACCACGGTCATCGGTGTTACGTGATCCAGAATGACTAATACAATTTCAACACGAAGATCGAGCTATTTAATACAAATATAAAGTATGAAATATCTCACGAAGTTTAACGTTTCCGATAGTCGTATCTCGATATTTTTATATCCGGGTCGTCGAAAAGAATCGATTTATGCAAAACAAGTAGTCCTTGACAGGAGGATTAAACTTTTTTTCTCTGTGAATCTGTTGTGTCTCGATTTAGAAAAGAGCAACAAATTGTTCCGGGTTTCGAAAATACATAAATCTCGGAGAGCAAATCAGAAACGAATATTCGAGTTGGTGTAACAGAGAGTAAAAAATTTCCGAAACGTTGTCTAGAAATAACGAATTCCTAAGGATACATATTGTACATAAATTAGCTTTGGTAAAAAATGGTTTTATACGAAATATACACTTTTTTCTCGTGGCTTGGATCATCGATATCAAGGTGAACTTGAATCCTTTAAATGGAATTTCCTCGTTATAGTCTCCCAGAGTGAATTCCGAGTCTTTGCATGGCATTTAAAAAATTGTTGAGTCGAACGATCGAAAGGGTTGAAACCGGACCAGGGGCGTAGAAACGAGCACCAACGAAAACCTGAAAGGATGACACCTCGACCACGCGACTCAATCGATTCTTTTCATCGTTTTCGTCCCTTTCTATCCGCTCGGTTCGTCCTCTTCGCCTCGAGTTTCATGCGGTAATTCACGTTCCTCGACGCGTACCGGTAATGCGACCGCAGACCACACGTACCCGTTGCGATGCACCTCGCATTGACCGTTTCCACCAGCTCCCGATGAAGTAACGATCAAGTTCCCTCTTATCCGCCAGCACTTTCGATTTTCCTCGCGAAACGTGCTCGCCGCGAGCGCGTCGCCGACCGATCGGGAACGCTCGGTTTTCTCGAAACGTACATTTTATCGTCTTCGTGTATGCAACGGCATTTTTCACCAGTCATTTTTGCAGACATCTCCGCGCGACAATCGTTTAAAATTCCACGTCCTTCGTTTGTTGACTGGCTTTCTGACGCTTCCGACCGACGGCATTGTTATTTCCGTATTCGACGCAGCCTCTGGATTCTTCTCCGTTCGCTGCGTACGATCTCGATAGTTTTCCATATTTTATTGCACTTCTTTCGCATAGTCCATTACTTAAAATACATTTTTTAATTATTTAAACGGAGATATT